GAATCAGTTGTGGGTCTACTCGACAGTTTTTAAGGTCTAGAAAGGCACAGTAGCAGGCCAGTCTGGCTGTATTTTACTTCTAGAACTGAGCTGCACTGTCTGTTGCAGATCATACTCCCAAGTCGTCCTATAATAATGTAGCCACATATGTTCCTGGCAGGCCCAGTTATTCAGGAAAGCTTAACGCGCGCTCTGCCTCCTCTCCAATCTGAGCGGCTATTCCTCGCGCACCTAGAACCTAATGCTTCAATATACAGTGAGGGAAAAAAGTATTTGATCCCCTGCTGATTTTGTACGTTTGCCCACTGACAAAGAAATGATCAGTCTATAATTTTAATGGAAGGTTTATTTGAACAGTGAGAGACAGAATAACAACAAAAAAATCCAGAAAAACGCATTGCAAAAATGTTATAAATTGATTCGCATTTTAATGAGGGAAATAAGTATTTGACCCCCTCTCAATCAGAAAGATTTCTGGCTCCCAGGTGTCTTTTATACAGGTAACGAGCTGAGATTAGGAGCACATTCTTAAAGGAGTGCTCCTAATCACACTACGCCATGAAGGACTGAAATCCTGCAGCACCCGCAAGGTCCCCCTGCTCAAGAAAGCACATATACAGGGCCATCTGAAGTTTGCCAATGAACTTCTGAATGATTCAGAGGAGAACTGGGTGAAAGTGTTGTGGTCAGATGAGACCAAAATCAAGCTCTTTGGCATCAACTCAACTCGCCGTGTTTGGAGGAGGAGGAATGCTGCCTATGACCCCACAAACACCATCCCCACTGTCAAACATGGAGGTGGAAACATTATGCTTTGGGGGTGTTTTTCTGCTAAGGGGACAGGACAACTTCACCGCATCAAAGGGACGATGGACGGGGCCATGTACCGTCAAATCTTGGGTGAGAACCTTCCCTCAGCCAGGGCATTGAAAATGGGTCGTGGATGGGTATTCCAGCATGACAATGACCCAAAACACACGGCCAAGGCAACAAAGGAGTGGCTCAAGAAGCAGCACATTAAGGTCCTGGAGTGGCCTAGCCAGTCTCCAGACCTTAATCCCATACAAAATCTGTGGAGGGAGCTGAAGGTTCGAGTTGCCAAACGTCAGGCTCAAAACCTTAATGACTTGGAGAAGATCTGTAAAGAGGAGTGGAACAAAATCCCTCCTGAGATGTGTGCAAACCTGGTGGCCAACTACAAGAAACGTCTGACCTCTGTGATTGCCAACAAGGGTTTTTGCCACCAAGTACTAAGTCATGTTTTGCAGAGGGGTCAAATACTTATTTCCCTCATTAAAATGCAAATCAATTGATAACATTTTTGACATGCGTTTTTCTGGATTTTTTTGTTGTTATTCTGTCTCTCACTGTTCAAATAAACCTACCATTAAAATTATAGACTGATCATGTCTTTGTCAGTGGGCAAACGTACAAAATCAGCAGGGGATCAAATACTTTTTTCCCTCACTGTAGCTTTAATATTAGTCATTTAACTTTTTATGTGTATTAAGTTTTATATGTGGCATAAACACAACCAGTCACAATGTTTTAATCTGATTAGGCTACTTCAAAAGTCTCCTGTAGGCATTCGCATGTGTGTCCAAAATATAATTCCAGCACCCTCAAAATGGCTTGACATTAACCAGGTTTCCATCCAAACGTTTTATGCAAGTGAAGTATGTTGGAGAAAATGTTTCACATCATGCAGTTTATTAGGCTAGATTAAATAAATTATGATGAACTTCACAGAGTGGTGAAAGTGCACGGTGATGAGCTTGATGCTCCTTTCAATAAATATTGAGGGTCTGATTCTGGTGACATGATGAGCGATGCTTGGATACCGTTTGTGTTTGCTAGAGCGCATGTGCCAATACCAGAGTGGGCACATTCCCTATACCTAATCATCATTTTTTGTGACAGAACAATCAGTAGGCCTAGATTTGAAAATGCAATTGAAACCATTTAACATTTATTTTTTATTTGGGAATTTAACTGCAAAGTTATTTTGATGTGCAGTATATACTTAAGCACAGACTTTTATCCTCAACAAGTCAATTTGATGGAAACACTATGCAGATTTTTGAATATTTGCATGAAAATTTGTCACCAGTTGGATGGAAACCTAGCTATAGACACCCTAAAGAATGGCAAGTGGGCTTGTCCAGTGTTACTTTGATTATGCCATGTTATGGTTCACCAGCAGCCCCAAACATCTAAAGAGTAAGGCAAAACAAGCTTGTAACAATTGTAAAACTCCCCGTTCATACTCATCTGGAGGTCGAACATTTTAAGCAGCTAGGCTGGCTATCTGTGGAAAACAAACAGTAGTATTAATTCAACTTGGTCTGGTCCACAGAATTATCACGGACTCAGCCTCCAAACATAAGAGTCTATCTGGTAAGAACACATTTTTATATACCGGCGCTATTGAGTGGAAAAACGACCACAGCATCTCTAAGTCATACCAACCATAACAACTTTTTAAAAGAATGTCAAAGCTGGCTAATGTGTGAACAGTATAACCTGTTTTTGTCTGTATCTCTGTAATGTGTCTGTATCTATGTAATTGTATATGTATTTATGTAAAAAGTAGGGACAACAATGGATAAGTTCCTGACTTTATTGTACAATCCCAGTCACTTAAAACAATATTTGTACTGTGTGTATATGTCTTCTTTTTTTAAACTGACAAATAAAATCTATCAATCAATCAATCGCAAACTGTGCAGCAGCCATTTGATGAATAGAAAGAAACATCTGTTACAAAACACCAAAAAGTTTAATGACGTGGAGATTGTCAAGCCAAGCCTTCGATACTGGGTAAGCCTACAAGGTAGGGAGGGATGCACTTTCTGTTTGTCCAGATTGACATAGTCTATTTATTGTGGTGTTGAAAGCGCAAACCATGATATTGAAGCGCCCGAAGTTGGTTGGCACAGAAACCGGTTGGTGGAAAATTTGTTGCATATATTTTTTAGTGACTTATAAATATGGCATCAACATGTTGAAAATCTGATTTCCCCTTAGCTGATCATTGTCTGCAGCTGGCTCTGATCATTGTGTAGGCCTAATGGAACAGGCAGGGAGAGTGGGTTTGTTTGTGGTGGTCAGCCAACCCCCATAGCCCTGCTTGGCATCAACTGTACCACAAAAGAATGCTAAGTGGCAAAGTCCATATTCACGTTTATAAACACAGGGTGGTTTTTAGGACACCCTGAGTTGGACAAGCCCCCCCCCCCCCCGGTAAATGTCGAACTGTCCCTTAGATTGAGAAGTTCAAGCTAGAGAGGTTGACATCCGGAGGTGGTACCTGGTACCCGCACGCGCCGCACGTACACGGTGACTTCACACACTCATCTCCCAGGTCTTGTCGATGTACAGCGCGCGGTCGTCGTCTTCTCCAGGATATTTTTTTGGGGATACGTCACATCGACAAGAAAATAAAAAACACGCTATTTTTGTATGATATACTGTGAATAAAAATGCTTGTGGTTATTATGGAGGCAGACGGTAAGTTGCCAATTTCAAATATGAAAATGTATGGGTTATATAACAACGATGTCCATTTTAGCATATTGTTTTCTCTAGCCTACATATGCCAATGTCTATCATTTTTCTAGCTGCGCTTTTTCAAGTAAGCCACAATATCAGGTTGTATACAGAATAGATAGCGCTATATGGTCTATTATTGCTTCTGATCATCATCTGTGAATGAATACTTTTTCATTTCTAATGCCTGTAGCTGGGATGGGGGCGGGGATGGACAGCGAAACCTTCAGTAGGCTATTGTATTGGTTTTCATCATACGTAATTAAATGACCATGATGACTCTCACTCTATTAATATTGACATGCGTTTAGATCACAGAGCATTCACACGGAACAAACAGATACATGCAAATGCTATATGTTTTAATAAGTAGGCTTAAATGTGATCATATGAGAATCGTCGAATGTTCATCTATTGTGTAAACATATCATATGAAGTACCATCGATAGAATGATTAGATAAGTGTAGGATACACATTTTTTATCAGCTTGCTTTTGCCTCAGCCTAGGCCTATTTAGACTCAGTGGTTGTCAGGTAGGAGAAAAAAACAAGCAGAATTCTTATCATTCACAATGGTAATCATAGACATCTTTCATACATGGTGTTGTAATAAACTCTGATTTCTGTGTTTTCTACTAGAAATCTGTGGTCTTTGCCATGACCAAGGGGACCATGTCAGTGGAGGAGACAGCAGATACTTTCACCATGCCGTTCAGTGAAATGGTGTGAACATGTGAGGCTGCACTCCAGTCCTCACTAACTCAATGGAGAAATTCCATTGAAACTGCTTTTTATTCCCGAACTAGGCTTAATCTGTGTCCGGGAAACCAGCCCTACTGTATGTGTACAATGAATGTGACCAGTCCGCCGTCAGCCCTGGTGGATGTGCTTCGCCACTACCACACCTACAACAGCAGCAGCCTGGGCCCAAGGTGTGTGTGTGTCCCTTACGGACAAAACACATGAATTTCTCATGTGATCTTATGTGAAGTTAATGTGATAACAGGTGACAACATGTAAAGCAGCATGTGATAACATGAAACTACATGTGAAAACCTGATCACATGTGAAGTGTTCCAAAAACATTTAACATATGACATTTCATGTGAAATCATGTGTTTTTCCACATGTGAAATCATGTGTTTTTTCTGTAAGGGGTGTGTGCGTGTGAGAGTGAGTGTGTGTGAGAGTGAGTGAGTGAGTGAGTGAGTGAGTGAGTGAGTGTGAGAGTGGGTGGGTGGGTTGAAAAGCAAAAGACACATTTCTTTGGAATGTAAGGAAAATATGTCTATAAAATCTTCCTTCCTTCTTCTTCTTCTTCTTCTTCTTCTTCTTCTTCTTCTTCTTCTTCTTCTTCTTCTTCTTCTTCTTCTTCTTCTTCTTCTTCTTCTTCTTCTCTTACTCCTCCTCCTTCTCCTCCTCCTCCTTGTCATCCGCCTCCTCCCTCTAGGTCCCTCTCCTCTTCCTCCCCTGGTTGGGCCCTGATCCACACGGCTACACTGACCTCCTGCTCCCTCGTCCTCATCTTTATCTTCTGTCTGGGTTCCTATGGCAACCTGGTGGTGTTCCTCTCCTTCTTCGACCCGGCCTTCCGCAAGTTCCGCACCAACTTCGACTTCATGATCCTGAACTTATCGTTCTGTGATATGATTATATGTTGCGTGATGGCGCCGATGTTCGCGTTGGTGCTCTTTCTTGACTCAGGTGAGTAGACTGTATTTACTTCCTGTTCTTTGCTTTGTTCTTCTCTCTTGCTTCAGCTAAGACCCTGGGCCCTGTCTGTCCCCAGGTTGAAATGTTTTGCTTTGGATCGATTCGGTTCTGTCGTGTGCCTGTTTGAGCTTGCCTGGCTTAGGAAACCAATAGAAAAGTCCCAAAACGACAAACTCTGCCCATCTAGCACTCCAGGTGAATCGAGCAAATCAATTTGGTCTAGTCGGTGACCATCGTTGTCCAAATTGTCCGACTGGCGCCTACATGTCGACTGCATGAACTTTACAAAAATCATGATCTAAGGTCATGTCGTTTTTGATGAATTCACCTTCAAGTCGCTGCAGTTGCCTCTCACCAACTGTAACATGCTTGCCTGACGACTCACCCTGAATTTAATTCCACTGCTCTATTAATCGCTACATACATTGTCTGAATCAGCCATCCTAGAAGTCATTTGTGTGGCTTCAAAATGATGGGAGTTGCACAAAACAAATTAATCAGTGATTGGATCATCTCTAACAAATATAACCAATCAGAGTGTCAAAGTTGATAACGTCATTATGTAGGCTGGCTCTGGCCCAACCCATCGGTTTCTGGGACCAGTCAGAATGTGTTTGCATTTTAGAAATCGGGGAGGGAGGAAATCCAGACTCATAGTGGAGAAGAAACGGAGCGATGTGGATGGGTAGCCAGGAAAGTACCATGCAGCCATCACCTGCATTGTGGGAGGCACTATTTGTTTTTGGTTGACCCACGTGAACGTGACCAAAGAAGTGACTGAAAGAGGAACCAACTTTGCCGCGATTCTAAAGCCACAGGGGACACAAATGAAAGTGATATTTGAGACCTCTATCTAACCAATTAATTGTACACATGTTATGTTTTCAGTTGTTGAGTGTGTGATATGGGGGTATAGAAACATTTATTTCTGTATTTATAAAGAACAACTTTTATAAACAATAGCAGCTATGTTGACACTGCCATGTTGATCTGAGCCTTGCTGTTGGAAAACTACTACACTGTCTGACTTTCGGCTCTCGCAGATGCAACTCCACCGACTTCACGGGCCAACTTTTGTCTACAGTCGGCTTCGTTAGCCTTACTGCTCGAACTCACCCTTTGAAAGGATTTTTACAAGTATTTGAACCCAGGTCTGATTCTTGAAGGTTTGCAAAAGTCTTATTAAGAGTACACTTTTTGTTACAGGAGGAGGGGGTGGCGTATCAAATACTTTTTGCTTCACCTTCCACCTGACCAGCTCAGCCTTCATCATCATGTCTCTGGAGACGGTAGCTGTGATCGCCCTCCATAGGCTCCGTATGGTCCTGGGCCAGCAGCCCAACCGCATGGCCTCGCTCCCCTGTACTCTGGCTCTCACCGCCCTCCTCTGGACCTCCAGCTTCACCATAGCTGCCCTGCTCACCCTGCGAGCCTACCCCACAAAGGAGGGACCCTGCCTGCCTCACTTCGGTTTAACGGGTGGGCGTGCCAGGGTGGTTCTATATGTCTACCTGGCAGACTTTGCCTTCTGCGTGGCGGTGGTGTCTGTCTGTTACCTGATGATCGCTCAGACGCTAAGGAAGAACGCACAGGTGAGAGAGGGAGGGTGAGAGAGAGAGGAGAGAGCATGAGCTTAGCGGGTAGATGGGGACGGAGAGAGATGGGGAGAGTGTGGTTAGGGTGGAGTCGAGGGTGCTGCGCGAGAGAGCGTCTTGTGTGCACGGTGTGCTCTGGAGGGTGTACTCCGAGCAGGGAGAGCGCTGCTCTCGAGGCGCTCGAGGATAAGAGAGAGAGAAGAGGAGAGAGAGAGAGGAGAGAGAGAGAGAGCTCTAGCTCCTTCCTCTCTCTAGAGATATGAGAGGATCTGTATGGCTGGCATGTGATTTTTGTGTCAGGTAAATCGCCTTAGCGACCCACAACTATGGGACTATTTGACAAGTCTTTAAGAAAACTTAACTTAGAACTTGCTATAAGCATGTACCGTATGAACCTAAATAATGTCTTATAACAGGGCTTATATCATGTTATGTCTCTCTATGCTGAATGCTTGATCCCATCCCACCCCCAGGTGAGGAAGTGCCGCATCATCACAGTAGACGCCACTCGTCCGCCGCTACCACCACCCCCGCTCATCGCGGCCGAGTTAGAGGGCATGCAGTGTGCCGTCCAGGTCCCTTCGCTCTACCGCAACCAGACCTACAACAAACTACAACACATTCAGACTCACTCCTACACTAACAGACCCACTAGCCAGGGTCTAGTACCCGGCGCTGCCCAGGGAGCTACCTGCTGCCAGCTGGTCTCTACCGTCAACCTGGCCACAGTTAAGGACTCCAAGGCTGTAGTAACCTGTGTGGTGATCGTATTCTCCGTCCTCCTCTGTTGTCTCCCCATGGGCGTCTCCTTAGCCCAGGACGTCCTTTCTCCAGAGAGCAGCTTCGCTCACTACCAGTTTGAACTGTGCGGTTTCGCACTCATCTTCCTCAAGTCGTGCATCAACCCGTTCGTGTACTCCCGCAACAGCGCCGGGCTCCGCCGCCGCATCCTCTGCTGTCTCCAATGGGTGGCTCTGGTGTTCCTCTGCTGCAAGCACAAGACACGGCTCCACGCCATGGGCAAAGGCAGTCTCGAGGTCAACCGTAACAAGTCCTCGCACCACGAGACCAACTCAGCCTATGTCCTCTCACCCAAGCCCCAAAAGAGACTGGTGGATCAAGCCTGTGGACCCAGTCACTCCCGGGACTGTGCCCCCAGTCCGAGAGCCACGGGCGGGCATGGTGGACGTAAACCCCAGCCCCCTAGCACCTCCACCCCCATCAACACCCGTATCGAGCCATACTACAGTATTTACAACAGCAGCCCCTCCGCTGGACCCGGCTCCCCTACCAACAGTCTGCAGCCTGCTACCAACTCCTCCTCCTCCCAGGCCTTTGGGTTCGCTAAGTCCTACGTAGCCATGCACTATCACACCCACCAGGAGGTGCTGCAGGACGTTGAGAGCACCTCAGCCCATAAGATACCCATGCCTTCAGTGTAACTAACCACCATAATTGATTGATTGATCAGATCCCCATCCCTTCAGTCTAACGTGATGAGTAACCTTGGCTTGGCTCCCCAAGCTAATGCCAATAGGTTTTAGCTCAGTGGTCCAACATAGTCTTGTGGTTCTGCCGGACTTTGAGAGCACCGCAGTGCATCAGATCCCCATACCTTCAGTCTAACTTACCACCATAATGTATAGATTAATTGATTGGTTGATTGATTGATCAGATACTGTACCTTCAGTCTAACCTATGCTGAAACTGGAGATGGCTTGGGCATACATACCAGGGATACTAAGAAGTCACTATATTGTTATACCACCATTACTATTACCACAAGACACCAGAGAGTAAACAGATGCTCATTTTCTGAATATCATGCGGTATTGAACTGTTTTTTGTGGTGGTTAAAGGTAGAGAATAATCCCCATTGACTTTGCCCCGATAAGGATGGAAGGTCTCCTAGTCCAGAGGGAAACGCGTGAAGAATAGAGAGATACGTAACAGTACTGATCCTAAAGTGTTATTGATGTTATTGAACTGACTGGGATCTATTTTTACACTGACATTACGTTTTTCTAATTGAAAAATGTAGATGGTCTTTCTCTTCATAATAATACTGTATTTGTGAGTCTCATACATTTTCTATGATATCAATAAATGTTTTGCAAGTGCAATGTGTCCAGTGCGCTCCTGGCAAAGAATATCTAATTCTAGAGCCATCAATCTCCAGTGTAGAATATTAGAAATTCTACATTTGATAGTGTTCTACGTACAGACGTTATATTACATTGTATAACGTAAATAATCGTATAAATTCCTCAAGTTTAGGGAATAGATTTTTGAAGTTTAGAAAATTAGCAGCAGGAGTTATGGAATTGCTCCTCTGATTTTCAAGTCAAATTGAAAACCTATTGCAGAGCCATAAAGGTGAACAGCACCTTTTATGAAGTAAAACTGTAAGCACAACATTGGAGCCCTCTGGTGGTCAGATAATCAACCTGCACCTCAAGCTTTTGTCATATCACACAATTACGCACAGTGCATGTGTCTATCCATAAAGATCTCTACTTGGAAATAACCAGCTCAATGGAGCTGCCCATGCTCTCAAAGACGCCATAATGGGACAGATACAAAGAGGAGTCGTCTAACTAAATCTATGATCTATCTGTGGTATCGCATAAGCTACAGGTACAAATCACATTTTCTTTAGAGAAGAGCATCAGTTGGCCTTTTACTACATGTATGATGGTTCAAACTGAATGCTAGTTATACAACAAGAGCTTTATCATATCGTGGCTAGCTCTCCAAGACAAGAGTATGACTATCAATAATTTTAACTCAATTTTATTCATTTTTGTTAAGATATATTTTTATTTCATTATTTTCTTGTTTCAGTGTATCCCTCATTTAAACCATAGAACACACCAGATTTAGAAATCCACAGGAAACATCTGATTCAGTAAATAAAACGTTAATCAGTGCTCGTCAATTACATCGGGGGATTGAATATACAGTACGTCAAGTTACTCTCACTCACCCTGTAACATAACAACCACCATGGTTGGGGTCAATTCCATTTCAATACAGTCAATACAGAAAGTAAACTGAAATTAAAATCCCAATTTTACTTATTGCTTTCGAATGAGGAAATACTGTAGCACTTGGAATTTCAGTTTACTTCCTGAATGGACAATTGAAATTTACCCAAACCATGACACCAGAACCCTATTCTTACTATACCCACAGTTACTGTTTGTCTGCACATTTTAAAATTCAAACTGACCTTGCTCAAAGATATCTACAAAACAAAAAATGCATACAATTGCAAAGTGTCACGGACAAGCATCAAATCAAACTGAAATTAAACCCAAATAAATACAGATCATTTAGAATGTTGGCGATAAAAACCAACATGGAAGCTGGTTCTCTTAATGAGGTTCTTTGAATGATTGGTCATTCTCTGTCCTGGCATATTGGCCTGAAAAGACACTAGAACTAACCTGCCGAAGATAAAGAATACAAGGAAGATATGAAGTCCAGGACATAGATCCACTGCCTTGTGGAGTGAGCAGGGTCCCATTTTGTGTGAGTCTCTGTCCTATTTGGAATTGGATTTCCAATTCAAATCAAATGTGTTTTCCCATGCTTTTATCATAAGGCTTTTGATGTAGAATGGGGCTGGTACAGTCCATGGAGGAGGTTTAAGCCAGGGCGTTAGTGAGGGGCTGTGGTCCTGGCTTCCAGGGGCCGTTCCAGGATCAACACTTTCTCCCTCTACTTTTTTTCATGTCTGTCTGAACCTCCTGAGCAGTGCCATGGGCCTTGGTTCATCCAGTCTTCAGGTGTCCATTTTATGCAGTCTTTGCCTAAATCTCTGTTCTTTTCTTTTCTAGTAAAACATGTTTTTTTTCTTATTATTATTCTATTGCTCTTCTTATCCCCCTCTACTCATCCCTCCTCTTTTTCGTCTCTCTGGCTTCCTGTTCTGTTAGCTGGAGACAGATAGAAGGCCTTTCTCATCAGCGGTGTCCAGGATCTGGCATATGACTGGAGACTCAACCTGATGGAGAAAAAAAGAACAGGGTTGAGTTTATTTCCCATGTGTAGTGAATACATTGGAAATCTGCAACACAGTGATGTGTGTATGCAGTCTTACCCCAAGGACGTACTGACAGGTCTGAGGCTCCAGCATGTACACAGTGACCGCATGGGGAGACTCAGACTCCTTACACCTGAGACAGAGGAGAGGAAAGAGACTTGAATCAGAGACTGGCGGTGTATTCAGTGATGTGAAATGTTCTGAATGTTGCAGATAGAAATAGAATCAGTAGAGCTGACACGATTTCCAATTCTACATGACAATCATCTTATACACCATACATTTCTATCTGATGTTGAACTTTAACCTTACATCCTCCTGAATAAGCCCTGCATGTCACTCCAATGGAGAAGTGGTCCTCTGTAGCTCAGTTGGTAGAGCATGGCGCTTGCAATGCCAGGATAGTGTGTTTGATTCCCGGGACCACCCGTACGTAAAATGTATGCACGCATGACTAAGTTGCTTTGGATAAAAGCGTCTGCTAAATGGCATATGTGCAAAAGTATGTGGACACCCCTTCGAATTAGTATATTTGGCTATTTCAACCACACCCGTTGCTGACCGGTGTATAAAATCGAGCACACAGCCATGCAATCTCCATAGACAAACATTGGCAGTAGAATGGCCTTACTGAAGAGCTTAGTGACTTTCAATGTGGCACCGTCATAGGATGCCACCATTCCAACAAGTCAGTTCGTCAAATTTCTGCCCTGCTAGAGCTGCCCCGATCAACTATAAGTGCTGTTATTATGAAGTGGAAACGTCTAGGAGCAACAACTTCTCAGCCACGAAGTGGTAGGATACACAAGCTCACAGAACCGGACCACCGAGTGCTGAAGCGCGTAAAAATCATTTGTCCTCGGTTGCAACACTCACTACCGAGTTCCAAACTGCCTCTGGAAGCAATGTCAGCACAATAACTGTTCGTCGGAAACTTCATGACCGCAATGCCAAGTGTCGGCTGGAGTGGTGTAAAGCTCGCTGCCATTGGACTCTGAAGCAGTGGAAACACGTTCTCTGGAGTGATGAATCACGCTGCACCATCTGGCAGTCCGACGGACAAATCTGGGTTTGGCGGATGCCAGGAGAACGCTACCTGCCCCAATGCATAGTGCCAACTGTAAAGTTTGGTGGAGGAGGAATAATGGTCTAGGGCTGTTATTCATGGTTCAAGCTCCTTAGTTCCAGTGACGGGAAATCTTAATGCTACAGCATACAATGACATTCTAGACGATTCTGTGCTTCCAACTTTGTGGCAACAGTTTGGGGAAGGCCCTTTTCTGTTTCAGCATGACAATGCCCCTGTGCACAAAGCGAGGTCCATACAGAAATGGTTTGTCGAGATCAGTGTTGAAGAACTTGACTGGCCTGCACAGAGCCCTGACCTCAACCCCATCAAACACCTTTGGGATGAATTGGAATGCCGACTGCGAGCCAGGCCTAATCGCCCAACATCAGTGCCCAACCTCACTAATGCTCTTGTGGCTGAATGGAAGTCCCCGCAGCAATGTTCCAACTCCATATTAATGCCCATGATTTTGGAATGAGATGTTCGACGAAGAGGTGTCCACACAGATGCACTATGCAGAAATCACTCTATGCAGAAATAGTTATCCTAATTTCAGTTTGTGACAAAACAAGCAAGTATAGTGTAGAGAATCATTCAACCATCTAAACTGCTGTGAAATATATTTTCCATAAACAAAAACATTTGATTTTTAGCTGGTGTACAAAACTGAATGTAAAAGATGCAAAAAACGAAAGTTAAGACCATGAAGCATAGAAATAGCGCACATAGAATAGATCTACCGCTTCTTAGACTTGCTTTCAATGAGAATGACAGATCTATAACTTACATTTCTATGTGATTTTGGTCGTTACATTGCAGCTTTAAGTGTGTCATTACTAGACCAGGCCTCTCGCAGGAAGAGATTGGTAACACTAATGATCACTCACTTGAGCTTGACGATGACCTGTCTGGATTTCCCCGTCATGTCACACACGTCCCCGTGGCCGTAGAAGTGAGACACCACTCTGGGGAGGAGAAAGTACAACAACCATGAAGTCCTTATCCTCATTATCAATCACAAATGTGTTCTTCTCATTAAAAATGTTTAGGTTTCCTGGAAACAGATTAATCCTATTACTGGATTAAAAGGCCCTTTCAATGGATATTCTCCATTGAGCATGCTTTTTAGTCCAGAGGTAGGCTTAATCTTTGTCCGGGACACCACCCTCTAATGCCCTATTTCTAAAATATAATAATTATTAACATAATGCTGATCAGTGTGATCTTTTAAAAAACTGATTGTAGAGCTGGCTGACATACTTGACTTTCTCCACCCCGTCGTTTTTGAGCTGGTAGGACCGGGCCACGTTCTTCTGGGCCCACTCCAGGTGCTCCTCAGAATTCCAACTGCCCACTACCACGATGTTCTTCCCCTGCTCCTTATCCTGGGAGAGAACACATATCAATCAATCATCATAACAAAAATATAAACGCAAGTGTTGATCCCATGTTTCATGAACTGAAATAAAAGATCCCAGAAATGTTCTCTCAAATGTTGTGCACACATTTTTTTACATCTCTGTTAGTGAGCATTTCTCCTTTGCCAAGATAATCCATCCACCTGACAGGTGTGGCATATCAAGAAGCTGATTAAATAGCATGATCAATACACAGGCGCAGCTTGTGCTGGGGACAATAAAAGGCCACTCTAAAATATGCAGTTTTGTCACACAACACAATGCCACAGACGTTTCAAGTTTTGAGGGAGCATGCAATTGGCATGCTAACTGCAGGAATGTCCACCAGAGTGGTTGCCAGAGAACTGAAAGTTCATTTCTCTACCATAAGCCGCCTCCAACGTCTTTTTAGCAGTACGTCCAACCGGCCTCACACCCACAGACCACGTGTAACCACGCCAGTCCAGGACCTCCACATCATCTGAGACCAGCCACCCGGTTTGCACAACCTGTCAGAAACCGTCTCAGGGAAGTTCATCTGCGTGCTCATCGTCCTCACCAGGGGCTTGACCTGACTGCAGTTCGGCGTCGTAACCAACTTCAGTGGGCAAATGCTCACCTTCGATTACCACTGGCACGCTGGAGAAGCGTGCTCTTCATGGATGAATCCCGGTTTCAACTGTACCGGGCAGATGGCAGACAGCGTGTATGGCATTGTGTGGGCGAGCAGTTTGTGGATGTCAGTGTTGTGAACAGAGTGCCCCATGGTGGTGGTGGGGTTATGGTATGGGCAGGCATACGCTACGGACATCGAACACAATTGCATTTTATCGATGGCAATTTGAATGCACAGAGATACCGTGACATGATCCTGAGGCCCATTGTCGTGCGATTCATCTGCAGCCATCACCTCATGTTTCAGCATGATAATGCATGGCCCCATGTCGCAAGAATCTGTACACAATTCCTGGAAGCTGAAAATGTCCTAGTTCTTCCATTGCCTGCATACTCACCAGACATGTCACCCATTGAGCATGTTTGGGATGCTCTGGATCGACGTGTATGACAGTGTTCCAGTTCCCGTCAATATCCAGCAACTTCGTACAGCCATTGAAGAGGAGTGGGACAACATTCCACAGGCCACAATCAATTGCCTGATCAACTCAATGTGAAGGAGATGTGTCATACTGCATGAGGCAAATGGTGGTCACACCAGATACTGACTGGTTTTCTGATCCATTGATATATGAACTGTAACTCAGTAAAATCTTTTAAATTGTTGCATATTGGGTTTATATTTTTGTTCAGTGTAGATATTTTGAACATAACAAAAAATACATGATGCACCCAGCCAGCCAATACTAAAACGCATCTCTTTCAGTGTACAGGAAATATTTAGCTTTAAGCATTTTAACATTACCAAGCTACTAAGTACAGAACAGGGGAGGCTGGTGGGAGGGGCTACAGGAGGACGGGCTCATTGTAAGGGCTGGAATGGAATTAATGGAACGGAGTCAAACACGTTGTTTCCATGTGTTTGATACCATTCCAGACATTACAATGAGCCCGTCCTCCTATAGCTCCTCCCACCAGCCTCTTCTGGTAGAGAACCCTTACCTCATGGTACTGATGTACATGCTTTCCATAGCAGAACTCATACTTCCACCATCCCACTCCCTGGAACACAGATGCTACAGTATGAACTTAAGAGTTGTGTGTGTGTTACTTGAGCACCTCTTTTAACCTCCTCTGTCACTTCCCCTTTTGGTATGTATAAATGGAATATATGTTGTTTTTTTATGTATGTAATACATCAGGGAACCATCAGGGATCAATAACGTTCTATTAAATTGAATAAACAACAGCAGCCAATGAGCAGTAGCCAATATGTGGCTGTAGCAAATGAGCAGGTGTCTTCTTCAACAGCCAGCCAATCAACATGCCTCATACTAACCCCATGGAGACAGTAGGAGCCACTCAGGAACTCTTTGATCAGCTGCTCGTCCGTCAGGCGGGAGATGTGGGTGGTTCCCACGGTAATATGAGTCTGCCCGCCTACCACCAAGGGCTTATGGGTAGAGGAGAAGGCCTCCTCTCTCACTGGGGACATACTCTCCTCCTGGAGAAAAAAAGGGAGGAGGGGAGGTGGTTGGCTTCTAAACCTGAGTCGTGTTCAGTAGAGTAGGGAGGAATGCAAAAAGCTTTACTATGGTGTGGCCTACTAGTCCCCCACTACCACTGCCTTTTCCCATCTTTCATCTTACCATCCTCCACCAGTTTCATGTCTCCCTCTCCTTCCCTCCTCCCCAGTATCAACTCTCTCCATCTTTATATCCTACCCCCCACCTCACCTCTCTCTCCATCTCTGGGGCAGCAGGCACAGTGAAGGGAGGTTTCAGTAGCTGTTCCTGCTCCCGGTCCATCTGAGAGAGACTGTGAGGCCGCAGGGGAGAACCAGACAGGGCCTGGCAGAAGATGGCATTCACTGGGGACGACTTGAACCTAACAGACCATGGGATAAAGATATGACTCCATTACATCTCAAACATGGGACAATATACAATCGTTTTTGAGAAAGATAATTGTAAAAATAAAATTGTATTGAGTACATTTTACATTTTAGTCATTTAGCAGACGCTCTTATCCAGAGCGACTTACAGTTAGTGAGTGCATACATTTTCATACTGGCCCCCCATGGGAATCGAACCCACAACCCTGCCGTTGCAAACGCCATGCTCTACCAACTGAGCTACACGGGACTATTATTATTTATTGATTTATTTTCATTTTGATAAGAGATGAAAATGTAATGAATTGAAGGTTATTTGTTGATGTAAATAAATATACAGATTTTAAGGTTGTCATTATATTGGGGTCTCGAGAAATTATTGTGAATGAAAATAGGTTCCCCAGAAATTCTGGCGGATAAAATGGGGTCCCAAAAGTTTGAATACCACTGCCTTAACTTATACTAATATCGAGACTATTCACTATGTCACTCTGTACATGAGTTAAATCAGCTATGCTAGTTCTGATATACATCAAACAAGGGAAACTGATTGGGTAGACCTGCTACCTGTATTTGGGGTGTGCACAGATCAGATGGGTCAGCACCACTACTTCGTACTCGCAGGTAGTGACCTCAGCGATAGAGAGGATCTCTTGCTTTGCTTCGGGGTGGCAGACATACAGCACGTTGGTGGAGCGTGGCTCGTTCTGTTTCAGGACGCAGGCCGTCCCGTGGCCCATCAACACCGGGTAGTATGGAGCCAGCTGGCCCTCCACATTCTTAGTGGGAACCTAGAGACATTTATATTTTTGTCTTTTAACAGAGATAATCGGTATATTCAACTTAGGTAGATAAACTAACCAGATCACAGCAAGTAAGGTAGCGACCAATGATAGAGACCCAAATTAAATGAAAATAAACTGAGTGACACAGAAAATACAAAAGGTTCAAAGAAGTCTTATCAGGTGTTTTTTCCAAATGTATATGAGCCAAACTGCTGTGTCGCTGTCGAACAACAAACCTCTTTCTCGGGTTCTGACTTAGGATCCGCCTCCTCGATTTTCTCTGCCTCTGCGGTCTCTGTTCCTGAAGTGGCTGAAGACTCAGTCTTCTTGGTCATGCTTCCCAAGACGTACTCCTGTAGTTTGATCTGCTAGATAGAACAGGAAAAATCATTTCACCTTGATTGCTTTTTTTCCCGTATTTATTGCAACATACTTAATGGTAGACATTTTTAATTATGGTGAACTTTGAAGTAACATTATTTCCCACTGACCTGTCCCGTCTCCTTCTCTTCGTGGTATTGTCTCACATGCTTCCCATGACACACCTCATACGTCCAGTATGACTCGATCTACAATTAACACCACAAGACACGCCAGAAGAGACAGTGGTTAGCCTATCCAAAGTGACTGAAAGCAAAGTGAGTACATTACATACATGTTTAGTATGTGTATGTGATCTCTAAGGGTAGTGTTGCCATGACGCCACAATTTGATGATACCGAGGGGGAAAAAATTCAGAGTGGCCTAGCATCCTGTTCGCCCCGTCCCCCGGATGCTTGTTCACATTTTCTAAATGTTCTGCGCATGTGCTACGCAAAAACCTTTCACTGAAATTCACACTTATACTCAATACAACACACTGAATTTAACTTCACACTGTTCAGTGTATAATAGAATACTGCATCGAATGGCTGATTTGCTCATATTTTCAAAGGCCTACCTGTGATTTGGCTGGAGAAATGGTAGGAAGGAATATACATGCATAATGATCTGCGTGTCATTGTGGCAGTAAGGGAAAACACTGCATGAAACCTTTACTCTTCAGTTAAAACACACACCTCCCTTCCTCACACACTGTCTCCCTAACTTCCTCTCATAAACACACACACCCACACACACACACCTCTCTCATAAACACACACACCACTCTCTCTCTCCCACAAACACACACTGCTACCAACTTTTAAAACATTAGGCACCAAACAGAATTCAAGGATCACCAGAAAGATATCGATTTTCTGGATCTAGTTTAGTCTTCCATTAGTCCTGTATGAATCCTAGCTTTGAAGCACATCTCATGAGTAGCAGACCCGTTTTCTTTCCTTCAAAACAGCCTTCGACATGGATTGTGAAATTATTTAAAATGCGTGCAAATCCCGATAGAAAGAAAAAAGGTATCCTGAGTGGCGCAGCGGTCTAAGGCACTGCATCTCAGTGCTTGAGGCGTCACTACAGACCCCCTGGTTCGATTCCGGCCGTGATTGGGAGTCCCATAGGGCGGCGCACAATTGGCCCAACGTCGTCCGGATTTGGCCGGTGTAGGCCGTCATTGTAAATAAGAATTTGTTCTTAACTGACTTGCCTAGTTAAATAAAGGTTAAATAAAAAAAAATATATGGGTCATTTACTGTATTTTGAACCGTTTAGGCTAGAGGCAAGCCGTTTTCTCTGCTGTAAAGCTGCAAGCATGCCTGTCGCGAAGCTCTGCTCAATTTGCCACACGTGATATGCGCATGAAAGTGATGTGGATATCAATGGGCCGGTGCATACTAATGGTGGTTGCTTAAATTCAACTGAATTTATGAACAACACTGACTTTATAAACATTTTATAACAGGCGTCAGCCTAAAAACTTGGTAGTATCATATGAAACGGTACTACAGTATGCTAAAATGTTGGTATCATAAGTATCATGACGTTTTGGTACCGTGATATTACCATGGTACCGGTGTACCGTGCAACACTACCTAAGGGGGTTAAACCCATGACCTTGGTGTTGCTAGTGTTGCAGTGATACTCAAGATAGCCTATATTTAGACAGAGTAGTAGAAGTGAAACTGTAAGGTTCTCACTCTGTAGGAGCAGCTGCTCTGTTTGAACAGTGGGTCCAGCAGATCACCTGGAGTGGGACCAGCGTACTCCTTGACATCATCCTGAGAGATAGAGATAGAGATAGAGAGGGGAGAGACGGTGAGAAGGGGGGAAGAGAAAGAGAGAGGGGGAGCAAGAGAGAGAGGGGGAGGATAAGTGAGACAAGCAATAATTGAAAAAAGGAGTGAAACAGAAAATTATTTATCTAGCTAGTCTAATCTTTATACTCACATCATCTCCATTTGACAAGGAAGGCAGGATACATTTGTATTTCTCCTTCTCTGTTGTTGTCATGATGACAAAGTCATCTTCTTTGTAGAGGGCACCTGAGGTTGGCTATGGAAGGAAATATTTTGGGTCAGCTAATAATACTGTACTGAAAGCATGCATGTTTACTGGCTACATCATCTCAGATTGTAAATGTTGTGGAGGTGCACCACTTTACAGGAGTCATAACAGGCGATGACAGACAGACCATGTATGATCAGCTTTTCTTTGACAGTCATATGACAACAACCATAACAAGGAATACCTAGCTAGCTAGTAACTAGGTAGGCTTAACATGCTTTATCACCATTTAAAACAACATTAGCTTGTCAATAAATCATGTTTAAAAAACAGCCATGATAACGTTATCTATAACAAAAACTGCATTCTCTATCACACAACAAACACAAACACACACAAACTGAGCGTCAACACCCACCAGGGTGAATTCGGCCCCGGGCCAGTTGATTTTGAATGGGATTTCATCAGTAAACGAAGGAGATCCCCCTCTGTTAGCCGACACATTACAACACACCTCCAACAAACCCCCAAACAACACGAACAACAGCCTAGTCCGGTCCATTGCCTCTGCAAGGCTGGTTCGCTAACTACCTTCTACTGTGCCTGTCAACGCGTAAGATAGCTAACCACAGTTAAAACTGGTTTAGTTTTGGAGTAATTGTACAATTATGAATCCATCTGGCTCTCTTTCGTTTGTCAACACAGAAACCAGGATGTAGTTCGTCGCTTGCCACGTCTATTTCCGGTACATCCGGGTTAGCTTTTAGCTAACAGGTTAGCCGAAGATACTGAGAAGTCAGTAAAAATATATCGCCCAGTGGTCTGGTTATAGTTCAGTTTGAAGCACATCTGACATATCGGCTTCACCTAACCACGTTTCCATCCGCGTAAAGTCATACCATATTTAAAAAATATATCACGACCGCTGTAATGGAAACAGGAAGTTTAGGTTAATTGTAAAAATGCCGACAGATAATCTGTTCATTCGACATTGTGTCGGTAAAATGTATTATGCGAAAAATAGCGGTGGAAACGCTTTTATGCGCAAATACTGATATAATAACCATCATATCGAAGCAAACTTGGAGTACGCGATAATATGGTGTGTGGCCCTCCCACTACGACTGTGTAAACCATGCAGTTTATTAGGCTACAGATGAAGTAAGTTATGATGAATTAACTTCACAGGGTGTTGAAAGTGCACGCTATGAGCTTGATGCACCTTTCCAATAAATATCGAGGGTCTTATTCCAGTGACATGATGATCGACGTGTGACTGCCGTTTGCAAATATTCTGGCTTTTATCCTTAATAATCTAATCATAGACTAACCTTCCCGCACAGCCTACCCTCACTGTATCTGACAGGTGTTGGCTAGCGCGCATGTGACATGACTAGGCACATTTGCTATTTAATGTAGTAGTTTCTGTGACAAATCAATCTTTATTTCTACAGCACATTTCAGACATGTAATGCAACCCAATGTTCTTCACAGGAAAAAACTATTAAAATAAAAGCTGAAATATTTACTACACAACAAACAAAATATAAAAAACTAAAGAATGACAAACTGAACGACTAAAAAGCAGTGGTGGAAAAAGTACCAAATTATCATACTTGAGTAAAAGTAAAGATGCCTTATTAGAAAATGACTCAAGTAAAAGGGAAAGTCACCCTGTAAAATACTACTTGAGTAAAAGTTTATAAAATGTATTAAATCGTTTTTTCCCCCTCATCAATCTACACACAATACCCCATGATGACAAAGCAAAAACAGGTTTTTAGAATTTTTGCTAATTTATTTAAAAAAAACGTAAATAATAAATTTACATAAGTATTCAGACCCTTTACTCAGTACTTTGTTGAAGCACCTTTGGCAGCGATTACAGCCTTGAGACTTCTTGGGTATGATGCTACAAACTTGGCACACCTGTATTTGGGGAGTTTCTCCCATTCTTCTCTGCAGATCCCGAAGCCACTCCTGTGTTGTCTTGGCTGTGTGCTTAGGGTCGTTGTCCTGTTGGAAGGTGAACCTGAGTCTGAGGTCCTGAGCGCTCTGGCACAGGTTTTCATCAAGGATCTCTCTGTACTTGGCTCGGTTCATCTTTGCCTTGATCCTGACTAGTCTCCCTGCCGCTGAAAAACATCCCCACAGCATGATGCTACCACCACCATGCTTCACCGTTGGCATGGTGCCAGGTTTCCTCCAGACATGACGCTTGGCATTCAAGTCAAAGAGTTCAATCTTGGTTTCATCAGACGAGAGAATCTTGTTTCTCATGGTTTGAAAGTCTTTAGGTGCCTTTTGGGAAACTCCAAGCGGGCTGTCACGTGCCTTTTACTGAGGAGTGGCTTCTGTCTGGCCACTCTACCATAAAGGCCTGATTGGTGGAGTGCTGCAGAGATGGTTGTCCTTCTGGAAAGTTCTCCCAGCTCCACAGAGAAACTCTGGAGCTCTGTCAGAGTCACCATCGGGTTCTTGGTCACCTCCCTGACCAAGGCCCTTCTCTCCCGATTGCTCAGTTTGGGTGGGCGGCCAGCTCTAGGAAGAGTCTTGGTGGTTCCAAACTTCTTCCATTTAAGAACAAATCAAATCAAATGTTATTGGTCACATACACGTGTTTAGCAGATGTTATTGCGGGTGTAGCGAAATGCTTGTGCTTCTAGCTACGACAGTGCAGTAATATCTAAAAAGTAATATACACTGCTCAAAAAAATAAAGGGAACACTAAAATAACACATCCTAGATCTGAATGAATGAAATAATCTTATTAAATATTTTTTTCTTTACATAGTTGAATGTGCTGACAACAAAATCACACAAAAATTATCAATGGAAATCAAATTTATCAACCCATGGAGGTCTGGATTTGGAGTCACCCTCAAAATTAAAGTGGAAAACATGCTGATTCAACTTTGATGTAATGTCCTTAAAACAAGTCAAAATGAGGCTCAGTAGTGTGTGTGGCCTCCACGTGCCTGTATGACCTCCTTACAACGCCTGGGCATGCTCCTGATGAGGTGGCGGATGGTCTCCTGAGGGATCTCCTCTCAGACCTGGACTAAAGCATCCGCCAACTCCTGGACAGTCTGTGGTGCAACGTGGCATTGGTGGATGGAGCGAGACATGATGTCCCAGATGTGCTCAATTGGATTCAGGTCTGGGGAACGGGTGGGCCAGTCCATAGCATCAATGCCTTCCTCTTGCAGGAACTGCTGACACACTCCAGCCACATGAGGTCTAGCATTGTCTTGCATTAGGAGGAACCCAGGGCCAACCGCACCAGCATATGGTCCCACAAGGGGTCTGAGGATCTCATCTCGGTACCTAATGGCAGTCAGGCTACCTTTGGCGAGCACATGGAGGGCTGTGCGGCCCCCCAAAGAAATAACTGACCCACCGCCAAACCGGTCATGCTGGAGGATGTTGCAGGCAGCAGAACGTTCTCCACGGCGTCTCCAGACTCTGTCACGTCTGTCACATGTGCTCAGTGTGAACCTGCTTTCATCTGTGAAGAGCACAGGGCGCCAGTGGCGAATTTGCCAATCTTGGTGTTCTCTGGCAAATGCCAAACGTCCTGCACGGTGTTGGGCTGTAAGCACAACCCCCACCTGTGGACGTCGGGCCCTCATACCACCCTCATGGAGTCTGTTTCTGACCGTTTGAGCAGACACATGCACATTTGTGGCCTGCTGGAGGTCATTTTGCAGGGCTCTGGCAGTCATGCTGCTGGGTTGTTGCCCTCCTACGGCCTCCTCCACGTCTCCTGATGTACTGGCTTGTCTCCTGGTAGCGCCTCCATGCTCTGGACACTACGCTGACAGACACAGCAAACATTCTTGCCACAGCTCGCATTGATGTGCCATCCTGGATGAGCTGCACTACCTGAGCCACTTGTGTGGGTTGTAGACTCCGTCTCATGCTACCACTAGAGTGAAAGCACCGCCAGCATTCAAAAGTGACCAAAACATCAGCCAGGAAGCATAGGAACTGAGAAGTGGTCTGTGGTCACCACCTGCAAAACCAGTCCTTTATTGGGGGTGTCTTGCTAATTGCCTATAATTTCCACCGGTGGTCTATTCCATTTGCACAACAGCATGTGAAATGTATTGTCAATCAGTGTTGCTTCCTAAGTGGACAGTTTGATTTCACAGAAGTGTGATTGACTTGGAGTTACATTGTGTTGTTTAAGTTTTCCCTTTATTTTTTTTGAGCAGTGTATAACGATTTCACAACATACCCAATACACACAAATCTGAGTAAGAAAAAAATTAAGAATGTATTCATATATGGACGAGCGATGTCAGAGCGGCATGAACTAAGATACAGTAGAATAGTATAGAATACAGTATATACATACAGTGGGGAAAAAAAGTATTTAGTCAGCCACCAATTGTGCAAGTTCTCCCACTTAAAAAGATGAGAGAGGCCTGTCATTTTCATCATAGGTACACGTCAACTATGACAGACAAATTGAGAAAAAAAAATCCAGAAAATCACATTGTAGGATTTTTAATGAATTTATTTGCAAATTATGGTGGAAAATAAGTATTTGGTCACCTACAAACAAGCAAGATTTATGGCTCTCACAGACCTGTAACTTCTTCTTTAAGAGGCTCCTCTGTCCTCCACTCGTTACCTGTATTAATGGCACCTGTTTGAACTTGTTATCAGTATAAAAGACACCTGTCCACAACCTCAAACAGTCACAATCCAAACTCCACTATGGCCAAGACCAAAGAGCTGTCAAAGGACACCAGAAACTAAATTGTAGACCTGCACCAGGCTGTGAAGACTGAATCTGCAATAGGTAAGCAGCTTGGTTTGAAGAAATCAACTGTGGGAGCAATTATTAGGAAATGGAAGACATACAAGTCCACTGATAATCTCCCTCGATCTGGGGCTCCACGCAAGATCTCACCCCGTGGGGTCAAAATGATCACAAGAACGGTGAGCAAAAATCCCAGAACCACACGGGGGGACCTAGTGAATGACCTGCAGAGAGCTGGGACCAAAGTAACAAAGCCTACCATCAGTAACACACTACGCCGCCAGGGACTCAAATCCTGCAGTGCCAGACGTGTCCCCCTGCTTAAGCCAGTACATGTCCAGGCCCGTCTGAAGTTTGCTAGAGTGCATTTGGATGATCCAGAAGAGGATTGGGAGAATGTCATATGGTCAGATGAAACCAAAATATAACTTTTTGGTAAAAACTCAACTCGTCGTGTTTGGAGGACAAAGAATGCTGAGTTGCATCCAAAGAACACCATACCTACTGTGAAGCATGGGGGTGGAAACATCATGCTTTGGGGCTGTTTTTCTGCAAAGGGACCAGGACGACTGATCCGTGTAAAGGAAAGAATGAATGGGGCCATGTATCGTGAGATTTTGAGTGAAAACCTCCTTCCATCAGCAAGGGCATTGAAGATGAAACATGGCTGGGTCTTTCAGCATGACAATGATCCATAACACACCGCCCGGGCAACGAAGGAGTGGCTTCGTAAGAAGCATTTCAAGGTCCTGGAGTGGCCTAGCCAGTCTCCAGATCTCAACCCCATAGAAAATCTTTGGAGGGAGTTGAAAGTCCGTGTTGCCCAGCGACAGCCCCAAAACATCACTGCTCTAGAGGAGATCTGCATGGAGGAATGGGCCAAAATACCAGCAACAGTGTGTGAAAACCTTGTGAAGACTTACAGAAAACGTTTGACCTGTG